TTATTATATCTATGTTATGATACAAATTTTTCTCGCTGTCAAATATCAAAAAGTCATGACACACTTCATTGAAAACTATGATCTGCTTGATTTTGTGTCAGTGGTGATGGCCTCCAGGTGAACTGGTTGCGAAACGGTGTGGACTTCTGTTTACGGCCTGCTTTGACGAAGCATTTCATTTAATTCTCGGCACTTAACTTGAACTCCATGCAGTCAGTTCCGCCCCAGCTGCCGACCCCCAAAAAGAGCTCAAAGTGGCCGCCAGCGCGTCAACATAACATTTTTCGCTTTATAAATATTTGAACGCTTAAAAGCTGGCAAGGACCCGTCGGAAAAGCAGAAGAGCTTCAATTGCAGCCGAGAGCTCACAGCTCCTCTGGCTGGTTTTTGGCTGTTTTTGCCTGGTTTGCGCCCGGTTTTTGCAGCTTTGGACTGGAGGATGTTTTGGCCAATTTCCCTGTTTTCGCCGACTTTCCGGTTCTCGGGGAGCGGAGGCGATAATCGCATGAGGTTGAGCGCTTTATTGGCCCCGCTTATGCTCATAAAAGTCGACCAGCCGAATGGACTGAGTGCTGGCTGCAATGCATCCGATTCGCACGCCGGAGATTTGGGGCGGCTAATTGGAATTTGTAGCCGGCAATTAGAGTCCTCCTCGCAGGAGCAGGACAAAGAGCAGCACCGCAGCTGACACTTTAAGGCCATTGAGGATTGCACTTGCATTTGCGTTTGCATTTCGCCCCGTCCAATAACAATAATGGCAACCAAACGAGCCACCAGCCACCAGCTCATCCTGCGATCTTCCAGCGGCCTTAGTTTGGCATTAGTTTGTATTATCCTCGGGCGGGGGAGTAGAAAGGGGAGGATCCAGAGGAGGTGCTTCTGGCGTAATATTGTTATTGCTAGCATTATTGCGCTCAATGTGGCACAAAAGTTGCCTGCCACAAAGTTGGTGCAGAACTTTCAGCCGTGCCTGCTTGACATATAAATTTTAATTTCTCGGCTCGAGTGGAAGTGGAAAGTGGAGGGCAGAGAGTGGCAGCGGAACTTTGCGGCCAGCCGCAGAACACAACACAACACAAACCAAGGCAAAGGCAAACACAAACACACAATCAGAAGCCGAAACTAAAGTTGCATTGGCCACACTCAAGAGCAGAGGAGAGCAGCTGGCACTGCTGCTGGTTCTGAAAAAAGCCCGGTCGGCGGTTCAAGGCCGTGGTCCGAGCTCCCAGCTTCCAGCTCCGTGCCAGCATCAATTTATGAAGCCACACCAACAAACTGAGAACCGAGAACCGAGATCCGAAAACCCCACCGACAGACAGCCCGCCAGCGAAACGTAATTTATTGAGTCTGACGCTTGTCAGCGGCGTGTGAAGTGGCTGCCAGCAGCAGCTGGCAATTTCTGGGGGCCAAGCGGCTTCTCTTGGGCCGAACCCAACTTTCCAGTTAGGCTGCCGAACCCTTTGACAACTTTGGGGCCCCAACGGAAATGAAAGGCTTTGGCAAACATTTGCCGAAACTATAGGTGGGGCCGTCAAAAGTGGCAATACCTTTATGGGATTACCGAGTTAACAGTTGGCCTTTTTCAAGCGTCTAATTCCACAGAGAAAAAATCACACAATTAATCAATCATTTGGTTTTTTATTAAAGAGTTCCGCTTAATCTGGGAATCTGATTTCTGTATGAAAATGTTAAAACTTTGATTCACAAGAGTCTCTAAAATCAATTACAACTAACCTTTTTCAACCTTGTTTTTCGAAAATGGGCAAGGAATGAAAATGAAAAACTCCAAGTTGATTGGGAATTTTATTACAAATTCAACAAGCTATATTATTTCTCATTTGGTACATGTCTACCTTTGGTCGAAATGAAAATGCAGTAAGCTAAAAATAGGAGTAAGTCTGCATTTTTGGGTTAAAATGTAAACCGAAATTGAGCTGGAACACATACATTTTTAATTACGAATTCAATGAGGTATTTTTCCATTTCATTCACAATAACCAAAGAAAACTTAGTAAGGTTTAAAAGAATATGTCCTTTAAAAGATACAAAAATGTATAACCGATAGTGCTGAATTGTTTTTTCTCTGTATCACATTCCGTGGAAAAGGAACCGGAAAGGGAGAATGACACATTAAAGACGCCCCCGCTCCCGCTCTCACCTTTCCGGCCCCGTCAGGAGCTATCTTCATCTGGAGAAGGCACTCCCTCGCCACGGAGATGGAGGCACATCCTCCAGATGCCTTCTTGCCGCACTGAGCCCGCAGCCAAGTCGAAAGACAACTGCGGCTTTTATTGTTTCCGCTGTTGACATTATCACGGCAGCGACACCTGCCGGGCGGGCAGGGCGACTGGCGTTTTATTGTTTTGCGTTTGATGCAATGTGACAGCCCGCCCTTATTTCTGCTCCTTTATATCCTCGCGTGCGAGGACAACAGGCATTTGCACACCGCTAACAGTCAATATTGCGCATACGCCGCATGGCTCCATTAAGATAATTAAAAGCTGCCGAGTCACGCTGCAGTTGGCCAACGGATTAGTCGATAAGCACGCCGAATGCGGCAACAAGTCAGCATGGCGGAGAAGAAGAAGAAGAAGGAGAGAGATGGCCAAGACGCTCTATTAGCCAACTGCCGCTGAATAATTAGACAGCTTCCGCTTTCGTTTCCGCTTCCGGTGGCGTCAGCTCGCATAAATTACACCCAATAATGCCCCGGGAAGGAAAAAAAGAAGGCACTCTTCAAGTGAAGGGTCCTTAAAAAATCAGGCGCCCAGCTGCTGCTGCGGTTTGTTTTCCCAAGGACAAGGCAAGTCTGTCGACCCGGCTTTTGTCATCGCCAGTTGGCGGCAAATTGTGATTTAGTGCGGCGCATTTCTTTTCAGCGCCCCGTGGTCCGAATCAAAAGCGCATAAATATTGCCAGCTCGAGTTGCCGCATTGATATCATTTACATTTCCGTCGGAAGCGTTTACACGCCTGTCACTGCTCCTCTCTTATTTATTATGCATTCCGCTGCAATTGAAGCCGTTTTTGCACACACTCTTGGTTCCGGCCCACTCAATTACGGATGCACAATGCTCCGGGGGCAAAAACGCTAACTGGAATCCATCTAAATTACTTTGGAACGATGATTGGATGTCGATTAAAAAGATGGCAAATTGAGCACTACAATTTAATTACCAAAATTGACGGCGGCAATTTTGGGCAAACTGCAGTAAATTGCCCGACCGTTACAGCAGGAATATTCAGATGGGAAATCTTTTGTTGAGTGCTCGAACAACTGATATCGTGGAAAGAGGGAATAAATTTAGATTTTGGAAACCTTAAAACTTCTGATTCTATGGCAAAGCTCAGAGCCTCATTTAAAGCACTCTTTTCCAAATATTTGAATTATTTCGTTGAGCACTTTCATCTCACCATTTCTCCTGCCTGATATGCCAGCTCAAAAATGTTACAGCCATCAACTCAGCAATGCAAACGCTTGCATTTTACGAGAATTGTTTATTTGGAATGCAACGATGCATTGTTGCCACACTGATCCCATTTTCCCATGTTCATGGGGCAGCCGTCAAAGGGACAACAACTCCAAAAAAGAGAGACCCGAAAAGAGGAGCCATAACCATTTTTTATGCAACGCTTTTTGCGGTCGCCGTTAACGCTGATTTATGAGTGTTAAGTTAATTTGGGCTGCCAGGACTCCCACTTCCCCGAATCCTTGATTGGGCCGCATCCCCCGGCCGCAGTGCATCCAGGTCCCACTACTTCATCATTCTAGGCAGCAGTTCATGCAACTCATGCATGTTTGAACGGCACCATCGCCCCACATAGACTCACCCACCAAACTGCCCTTCACCTCCCACAACCACCCATTTAGAGCCACCCAAACTGCAACTGCAGGATGCAAATAGAGGCTCCGCTGAAATGCACTTTGAGTTATAGTCAAAATATAAAACGCACAGTTGCATTTACGAGGCCATAGACTGCGCCCGGGCAAATGGAGAGCGATGGCATTTTACACCTTCACCTGCGGGGGCAGTAAAAGGTTAAATGCTGAATTATCCGACATTCTTGCGGGGTCATGCGAGTGGCAGGCTGGCTACTACTATGTACTCCAAATATTACCATGTCAATGGTAAAGGCATTAATTTATTTTTATTCATGTACATTCACTTACTTTCCCCGCAAAACACAACGAAATTCCCATCTGCATGCTGTGAGAGAGCTACAAAAAGTTTAATTTATATCCCATACGTTATATTTTGTACAAAAGAAGGCCCTGTTTAAAGCTTCAGTAAGAGGTAAAAATAATATTATTTATAATGGGTTAAAAAAAAATTGTCAAGTACAAAAATATTCTCTCATTAGTAAATTCGATTAAAATAAAAATGGTATTACGTTCCGAAAAGCTAAAGGTCGACAGTTCCTCTAAAACATGTCCTTGTTAAATATTAATTTACTTTTTCTTTGCTTAGAAAATGTTTCTCAATTCTAATTCACCAGATTTCACCTCTTTTATTCGTAGGAAAGGACTCTGTTATGGCTATAATTATGGCAAAGATTAAGTATGGAAAACGAGGTACAGGCATAAAAGACGGTACCTTAGTATGTCCTGCCCTCCGCCGCTTGTTGGTAAATGAAAATCCCCTCTAGTGGCTATTTCGAGAATATTAGTAAGTGAAGAACTCCCTCTAGACGGCAGTTAAGTGAAAGTGAAAAACCCCAATAGATGGCAAATTTAGCGCATGCGGAATAAGGGTGGTTACAAAAAGGGACGGCTATAACTATCAAGAGAAAGAGGCCGCAATATAGCACGAGGGATGTTTTTGAATATAATTTCCCCGTTGGCGCCAGGGCAAGTATATTTTCTCAATAAAGCTATCAATACCTAAACATAGCACTTATCAGCTTATTTTATGGTTCTCGCTCCGAAGTACGGAAAAATGGAACTTTCGGGGGTGATCGACAATGCTCAGATAAGATTGCGTTCACTTTGGGCCCGAGCTCCGACATGAGCGGACTAATAGTGTGAAAATGCGCCTCGGCTGTGCTTGGCTGGCGCTCGGCCTGCTTTTTCACCTGAACCTTAGCCTGGACTTGGGTCTGGCGGCCGATATACTGGGTGTATTCCCGTACCGCCTTCCTTCGCCCTTCCAGATGGTGCGGCCCCTGATGCGGGCTCTAGTCGAGCGGGGACACAAGGTCACAATGATCACACCGGAGGGATATCTGCCCGACATCGTGGGAGTTCGTCACATACGCGTGCCCATGCTGAACAGGCTAATTGATGGTGAGTCACGTGGAATGTGCTTCCCAAATTATTTAGACTGTATTCGATTTCAATCTTCTTACAGATATAATGGAAAGCGATATATTTCTGGACTTGTTGGGCAACAAATGGCGGGAGGGCTGTCTGGCTGCCACGATCTTTTACAACGTTTCGCATGCCATACTCAGCAACGAAGGTGTTCAAAAAATGCTGAAGGACAAGAGCGAGCGGTTCGATATGGTCATTTTGGAGGCCAGTCACCTGGATGCACTTTACGGCCTGGCCGAGTTCTACAACGCCTCGCTGGTCGGAGTTTCCTGTATGAACGTGAACTGGAACATTGACTATTTGGCGGGAAATCCTGCTCCCAGTGTATATGAACCAGTTTCCCCGGTGGGATTCGCTCTTGATTACTCGCTGCTCAGCCGGTGGAACAATTGGGTTTATATTACGGAAGAGAGGCTTCTGGAGCGACTCGTCTTTCGACCCGCCCAGTTGAGGGTCTTTACGAAGTTCTTCGGTTACACCGCTGAGAAGATGAGTGAACTCAGGGACAGATTCTCCTTACTTCTAGTCAACACCCACTTCAGCATGGGAAGGGTGCGAGCCAATGTACCCAACATCATTGAGGTGGGAGGTCTGCATCTCAGCGAACCCCCAGAACCGTGTGGTGAGGAACTGCAGAGATTTATGGACGAGGCGGAGCATGGTGTCATTTATTTCTCGATGGGACTGGACATTCTGGTTAAATATCTGCCGGAAAATCTGCAACACCATCTCCTGCAGGCCTTCGCCCGACTAAAACAGCGGGTGGTTTGGAAGAACGAGATTGCCATGATGCCCAACAAATCGCGAAATATCTATGTAATTGAAAGAGCTCCTCAGCGCCAGGTGTTGGCCCATCCCAATGTGCGGCTTTTTATCAGCCACGGCGGAATGCAGAGCGTTATAGAGGCGATAGACAGTGGAGTTCCGATGCTGGGATTGCCACTGTTCTTCGATCAGTTCAACAACTTGCATCGGGTGCAGTTGGCCGGAATGGCCGAGGTCTTGGACACCAATGCTCTGGACGCAGATACTCTAACCGAAACTATCAAGAAGCTGATCGAAAACCCCAGCTATGCGAAAAGAGCAAAGGAAATGTCTCGATCCTTCAGGGACCGACCCATGAGTCCGCTGGAGACTGCTCTCTGGTGGACGGAGTACGCCCTGCGACACCGGGATACTAGCCACATGCGACTCAATTTGGACGAAATTCCTCTGATGCGCTACTACAGATTGGACAGCGTGCTCACCGTTGGAATTCGCTTTGCCTGCGTCCTTGGATCGATTACCTTTCTGGGCTGGAGATTGTACCGGAAACGTCGCAATAGGCAGAGACGCCTTCGTGAGAGGAAAAGAGCGTTCATGGAGATGCAGATGCGATTGCTGCACTCAAAAAAAAAAACGCCTAGAATCGCCTTTGGTTTTAGAAAATCGCCTATGGATTTGCTTTACTGGCGATTTTGTCTATATTAAAGAAAGTAGGTTTTTAAAATCAAAGGCGTTTTATTCTAAAAAACAAAAAAAAAACATCTGCGATTGAGAAATTTTTTACTAGAAAGTAAAAAAGTTATGTCTTACAATTAGAAATAAAGGTTTTCTAAGAAATAGAAATACCGTTTTTTTTAATATAGAAACATATTTTCTAAACCCAAAGAAAAAGTTTTATGTTTTTTAAAAAACTTTTCCTTATTCAAGGAAAAAAATTCTAAATTAAGAAAATTGTTTCCCAGAAAGAAAAACATTTTCCATAAATCTAGAAAAATATGTATTTTGTTTTAGAAAACGATGCCTGCATTTTTAATAATATGTTCCTAAAAAGGCTGTAATTTTTTTTTAAATTTGTTTAAATAAACCCACAACTAAATATATAAAAACTAGAAATGGTTTTTTTTATTTAAATGTTTTATTGAGCACTTTATCGGACTCGAGGTCACTTTTCTAGCATTTCAACACACTTTATAGTTTACGTTTTAAACATAATATCAAAACAAAATATAATTAAAAATAAAATTTTGGCTTAATATAGCTGTTGTTGTTAAGTAAATGAAATTGTGCGGGTGGGTGACATATGTCTGATAACCTAATTAATTTATAATTTAAATATCCAGTTTTCATGAAGCAGGTTGTATGCTCGCAAAAAATAGTTTCAATTTCAACGCACAAAAATGTTATCTCATTTTCCACCAACATTACTTCTTTAATCTCAAAAGATTTAAAAAAAGGTTCAAATGAGTATAATATAAATGTTTTTTTGTATAACACATTTCGTAGCTTGACAAAGGAATAACAACAAATTTGTTGAGAATATGGTATAAGTTTTGAAATTTCTGTGTAAAACAAAGAGTTACTTACAAAGCACTTTGTTTTGCTTAGTACTAACTCATTAGTTTTTGAGTTTTGTAACTTCTTAGCAAACTGAAAACTAATTTTCATAGAAAGGGATAATAAAATATTTCTTCTGGACATAGTGTTTTGGCAATACGATTTCAGAGACTTGTGTTTAGCTTCAAACGGAAATGTCCACAAGTATTTTAATGGACCCGATTGCTCAACTATTTTGGGGTAATGGTTTAAAAAATGATGTTTTGGTTTTAAATTGTCTTCAAATAAAATCTGGTAGTCTCGGTTATGAGCAAGTATTACTGATTGTAAAGTTTTTATATCGTCTTTAGAATAGTCTGATAAAGTTACTAAGTCAATTAATTTAAGTAAATTTTTAACAAATTGCCAAACACTATCGTTCTTGGGAATTTTATCGGAAATCATTAGCGGAAAGAATGTTATGAAGGTCAATAGCTCACGAGCAGTTGCTTTGATATTGAATTTTTTTAATAAATTTAATTGAAAGGCTGGACATATGTTTCCTATCTCAGCTTCTCCATAATCAAAATCTGTTTTTCTTATGTTCAAGAATTCCAAGTCAAATATTTTTTGTTTAATATAATACATAATAATATGACAAATATCATATCTCAGCACGCCTTCAAATAAGTCATGCAAAATGTCTACAGCATAATTAGATGTTACGGAGAAATTTTGAAGTTGATTAAAGAGACAATCTGATTTTATTCCCGTCATAGAGAGATCTGAGAGGCTTAAGTCATTTTTATAATTTTCTTCATTTCTTAAGCTTTGAGTACATACATTAAATGAGACATAGCTATCTTGCTTTGATATTTTGCAAAACCTACAAAAAAAATTTGAAACAAATGAAGTGGTGAATCCTAAAATACCGTTCAACCCTAAGTTATCGCCTAGTATTAAACCAAGGATTAAATAAACTGTATATTCCTCGCCATCTACTTTTATGTGAACACCTCTATCTTCAAATTTCTTTAGCACTTCTATAAATTTAAAAAAACATTTAGAATTGCCTAGTCTTTTAACGTCTTCTGATTTGTAAATAGCTGCTGTAAAAATAGTATTGTATTCCAGAGGTACTGACGGAAAGGAAAGATACACTCCTGTAAGCGGACTGCGATGTGGTCCTAAAGGATTATTTATTTCAAAATCGTCAGTGTATAAAAAATATGGAATTTTATATTGTTTGTCTTTATTGTTTGACTTAATTTTTTTTCCACAAAAGTCCGTTTGTAAAATTTGTAATTTTTGTTTGAGCTTCATAGAAATTAAGATTTTTCATACAACTTTTAAAAACATTTGGAAGCTCGAAGAAAGATTTTAACTGAAACTCTAAAGGTAATATGACCCCTTTATTTTTTTTATCTCCTAAAGTCATTTTGTTTTTTACTCTTAGTGGGGCAATTTCGCTGTTAATTGTGATAATCTGAGGCTCCCTATATAAATTTAACTTTTCAAGATTTTTAATGGTTTTATATTCGTTTTCAACGTTTTTAAAAGGATGTTCACAAAAAGTAGACAAATTTACTAGCCGTTCTTTAATTTCACTTAAGGTTGAAGTGTTTTCTAAAATACATTTGATTTCTTTATGTATTGGAGTTGTTATGTTTAGTTCTACTTGTTTCTGAATCTTATAAACTTCACTGCGGGGAAAATTTAACTGTGAACCTAAATTTAAATTAAATGCGAATGAATGTTGATATAAGTTTTCTTCTTCTATGTCCATCGGAATACTTTCTTTTGCTTGAGGCAATTCATGCTGAAATATTATATTGTCTCTTTCTGGATACGTTAAAATATCATTTTCCGATTGAACGACTTCATTAAAATATTCAGATTGATGTTCATTTTTTGTTAGCATGTGACTCTTGAAATGTTTAAAACTGGAAAAAACGTTAGAACAATCAGAGTATCCACAAGGAAGTTGTATGTACGGGTCATACGTATGTAACTCTTTAATATGAGAAATGAAAATATTTATATCGTCAAAACTACGACTTTTACAAAGTTTGCATATCAACATCATTTTTTAAAAGATTAATGTTGTTTGGTTGAAGTTCTTTCAATAACTCGGACAACGATCTGCTTTTTAAATCTGTTGTTAAATGAATGTTGTAAAAAAATTTCTGAATGAATGTCCAGAACAACGAGCACTCAACCGGATATTTTAAATTTAAAACAAAGAAACACTTAAAACATACGTCCAAACAATTAAGAATATTATCAAACTTATAAAATACACTTGAGACATACAAGTAATACTCTGTAATGTCGTAAGGGCTTGAACCTTTTAGACAAATAATGGGTTGCAAAGTAGTCTTACTTAGGTATCTTAATTCTATAATCTCTTTTAAATAGGTTTCTATTTCACCAACAGTGGGTCTCCAAATAACAAATGCGATCCTGGAGTCCTCTACTGTAAGCCTTTTTAATTTGTCACTCCTTTTTATCCTTGCCGTTGGAGGCAAAACAGCATGCATCAGCAGTAGTACCAAAAGATTTTGAGTTTCTGTTGAAAAAAAAAGGAATTGTTAAAACAAAATAAATAAAAAATAATTATGGGAACTACCAAAGTTTCAAACAAGTCAAATATGTGAAAAAATAAATTTTGCGAAATATGTTTGTATGGTTTTCAAAGTAAAGCCAAATTACATTTAATATTAAACTTTAAAAGATATATTACCTTCCAACTGTTCATTAAACGACTTTAAAATATTAAGGCTTTGCTTATCCTTAATTTTCAAAAGAGCTGCTGATACAAAACGGGTTTTAAAAGTGTCCCATTGGTCAAAATAATGGCTGCTGCCTTCATACGCTTTTTGAAAATCAGCTTCGATCTGCAACGAAATTTAAAAATTACATATTGGAAATGAGCTGAAGGCTAAGAGACTTACCAATTGATACCCAAATGACTGTTTTAAAATGGGGAAATCTTCAAAAACATTTTCTAATGAAATGTTTGTTTTTAAAAGATCAAACCTCCATTGATATGTATTAGACCATTTTTCGAGTACAACTTCCCTCGGCTCAATATTGTATTTAAGCCAATCCAAATCGACTGCGACTTCATCAGCTTGAATAGAAGCAAAACCAAAAAGAAAACAGTGAAATAAAAATATAAATGAAAATAGAAATAGAAATAAAAATAAAATAGAAATGAAAATAAAAATATAAATAAAAAAAGAAATGAAAATAAAAATAAAAAACAGAAATAAAAATGAAAATAGAAATGAAAAAAAATTATAAATGAAAGTAAAATAAAAATAGAAAAAATAAATAGAAATGAAAATAAAAATATAAATAAAAAGATAAATAAATAAATAAATTAAATAAAATAAAATTTACCTAAAGTTAGTACTTGGCTAGGTGGGATGTTTTCCTTATTTTTGCGAATAGATGACTCCTTAAATTTTGTTTGAAAATTGTACCAATTGCTGTAAAGCAGTCCACCCGGTTTTTTTCCTTTTATTTTTATAAAATAAGTTTCCTGCAATCAATTGATTTTATTATTTTAAATTTATTTTATATTTTTTTTTTTTGATTTGGCAAACCTTTATTTCACAATCGAACAATGTTGTAATATCAAAAGCAACTTTATCTAGTACGGGCTGCTTTGGTAAAATATCATTTATTACCATGTATTCCGAAATAATGTTACTTAATAATTTTCGATATTTTGAGTCCAAACGATTTTCTTTGGCAAAAAATTTAAAAATTAAAGTGGCTTTTTCGTTTTTTGCTAGAATTTGTGGTAAATCAATCTGAAATTATTTAATTTGCTTTAATACACTTTTTTTCCGTTATTTTCATATATTTTACCTCTCTATGATTTCCTGTCGATGTTTGTAATTTCCCCTTGAAAAAATATTAGGAAAGATTTAAAATTGCGTTTTCCAAATGTTTATATTTATGAACATGGAAGTACATATACAGACAGTCACAAAAGTATTCGTTGCGAGGTGGTTCATAAACAAATTAAGTTTTTTTAACATTAAAGTAACCAATTAATTCTTTTAATAATTTTTTCAGAAATTATTATCATGTTATTTTATTTTAGATATTTTGAATGTGTTGAAACTGAAAAAATTAATAAAAGAATTAATTGGTTACTTTAATGTTAAAAAAAAACTTAGTTTGTTTATGAACCACCTCGCAACGAATACTTTTGTGACTGACTGCAAGTAAACACAAGGCATCCACATTTATTCATTTGCCGATTTGAAAGCAGGCCATCCACAGTCGAATTTGTTAGACGAACATTTTCGCGAACAGGCAAGATAGAATCGTTTCTATCTTTGTTAAACAAACCGTCGAACAAATTTCTATGAAATTCGAACGCGAACACTACCACCAACGACGAACATGAACATGTTCGCCGAACATATTAGACTGTGGATGGCCTGCTAAAGCCAGCGATCGACACACACACACAAACATATCGGCATGTACTACTTTACGGCACCGCTGATTTACATACACACATATATGTATGTTGAGATTTAAATGAACAAATTTTGTGTTTCGTTTGTGTCTTGAACTAAAATCTCAGTTTAGAAGACATTTTCACAAATGCACTGGATACATTTATTTTGCAATCAGTTTTACCACAATAAAATAATACACTTGGCAGCGAAATAAATGTTTTATTATAACGTGGCCGAAGATTACGAAATTCTCTTTACACTTATGTGCATACATACATACATATGTACAAACATATTTTGTTACCTTATTTAATTTCAAACACACAAACACAAATTGGAATAGGTTTTAAATATAAGAACTCAACTCTCTAGCGTTTCTGCGTCGTTCATTTGCCGCGTCCATCGAATTTTAATGTGACCAAGTGGTGCAATGGGAAAATAGATAAATGCTAGACAGAGAACAAGGCAAAAAAACTAACGGAAAGAGAAAAAAGTCACACATACATATGTATGTATGTATGTATGTATGTATCTATGCATGTATGTAAGTTCTCTGGTTAACCCTTTATTGTTTAACTTACTGCATTTTGCCAAGTTTTTAACCCGTGGAAAAAAATGATTGCTGGGCCAGCCAGTTCCTTAGGGATAATAGAACTGAGTTGTTCCCAAGTCATGACACGAAGACACGACTCTGAAACATGTAGATCTTGAAAGAAAAATATATTTACATATGTATATAAACAGTTAAATTTTATGTTCCCCGTTTTAAAAGAATTATAAATTTTAGTTACATACATACATATGTACAATGTACATACCTTGAAATATTTTTCCGAAGGCTTCGCCTTTCAAAGTTGTTAGCAGGTTATCCATCGTCTGCACAGATCGAACACTTCAGAAAAACTAAATGTGTTAGTGCTAAGCAATTAGTTCATCACGCGCGAAAAGGAAAACGGACGCGCACAGAGGCAACTGAAAACAACAGTTATGCACAGAGCGAATGATATGCACAAGAGGGACGCAGATGGAAAACGAAACGAATTTATCTTCTTTTTCGCCTACTTTTTTTGCTTCGAAAACAAGTCGGGAAGAACAGCCGAAAGATGTAACGCTTGTTAGGATGAGATTAAAAGGGCAATAAGGGGAAATCAAGTTTATTTTTACATTTCGATTTTATAAAGGTGTTCCTTTACAAAACTTAGATTACATTTACATACACACAAAAAAATTTGCTTGGTAAAATTGACCAACAAACTATTTTAATAGTTACGTGTATTTTGTTTTTGCTTTGGGTTTGTGTCTTTGCTAATTGTGTGTATTTTGTTGTTGTGAAATGACTATTTACTTAGTAGAATTGACAATTTTGCTGGTTGGGGCCTGTTTGACAATTATTACAGTTGATTTTACTAAGTTTTTTTTTTGTGTGTGTGAAATAAACCCACTTCTTAAAATGTAATATGTGTGACAAATATCTGAATTTTAGAAAGGAAAATATATTTCTTTTAAAATAAGAAAAATTTACCCGGAATAATAAGAATTTGAGAAGAAGTTCTTAAAAAAAAAAATACCACGTATGTTTAAGAAATAAAAAGCCCTATAAACATGGGAATTAGAAAAATTTTCTATGTTTTATATTGATATGTCTACATTTAAGAAATATGTTTTAAAAAAATTTCAGTTTTTTAGAAAAGCAATATTTCTATTATGTAAAAATTTGTCTAATGCTAATGGCGATTTTTTTTTTATTTTTAGAAAAGTTTAGTCTTTTTTTTTTCTAAAACCAATGGCGATTTTCACCCCCAAATAAAGAAAGGAAAATTAGAAAAATAAACCTTATAATTTAGAAAAAAATGGATTTTTCTGTATTTGAGAAAAAAATTTCTAAAAAAAATCGTTCAATAGAGAATTTTTATGGGGATTAGAAAATTTTTCTGAAGATTAGAAAATTTGTTCTCTTTATAGAACATTTTTTTCTTAAACACAGAAAATTTTTTTTTTCTATATTTAAGAAAAATAATTTTTTGAGTGTGAATGAAAAGATTTATTCCAATTAATTCAATCAATTAGAACAATTAGTTCAGGTAAATTCTTTCTAGATCTCGTATTATTTATGATCATTGATAAAATGTACCACGATCACAGACAGATATAATTTTTTCACCTACTCATTTCATATCTTATCTAAATGATTTTTATACCCTTGCAGAGGGTATTATGATTTCAGTCAGAAGTTTGCAACGCAGTGAAGGAGACGTTTCCGACCCCATAAAGTATATATATTCTTGATCAGCATCACAAGACGAGTCGATCTAGCCATGTCCGTCTGTCCGTCTGTCCGTCCGTCTGTCCGTCTGTCCGTCTGTCCGTCTGTCCGTCTGTCTGTTTCTACGCAAACTAGTCTCTCAGTTTTTGAGCTATCAGGATGAAACTTTCCCAAAAGTCTTCTTTCTATTGCAGGTAGTATATATGTCGGAGCCGACCGGATCGGACAACTATATCTTATAGCTCCCATAGGAACAATCGGAAAAAAAAAAACTTTAAAAAATTCTAGCTTCGGTGTTTTTTGAAATATTACCTTCTACTTTTGGGGATGTTATTTTTTAAATATATCTGAATTTCGAATTAATTATTTAAAAAATCGGACTACTATATCATATAGCTGCCATAGGAACGATCGGAAAATTAATGGAAAAGTAATAGGAAATAAATTCTAGCTTCTTTGGATTTTATTGTATTATCTTCTACTCTAGGATATGACACTTTTTAAATATTTCCGAATTTCAATTTTAATTTAATCAAAATCGGACGACTATATCATATAGCTGCCATAGGAACGATCGGAAAATTAATGGAAAAGTAATAGGAAATAAATTCTAGCTTCTTTGGTTTTTATACCCTTGCAGAGGGTATTATAATTTTGGTCAGAAGTTTGTAACGCAGTGAAGGAGACGTTTCCGACCCCATAAAGTATATATATTCTTGATCAGGATCGATAGGGGAGTCGATATAGCCATGTCCGTCTGTCCGTCTGTCCGTCTGTCCGTCTGTCCGTCTGACCGTCTGTCCGTCTGTCCGTCTGTCCGTCTGTTTCAATACCGTTTGCGAGCTCAGTTTAAAAGCTAGCGCCTTGAAACTTTCACAGTCGTCCTAAAACATGTGTACGCAGATCAAGTTTGAAAGCCGACCCGATCGGACGTCTATATCCTATAGCTCCCATAGGAACAATCGGATATAGGTTTCACAAAATAAAGATATTTCGCTCAGTGTAAGGGCTTTTAACAAGAATCTTTTTTTTTTACGCATACCTTGATCAGGGTAAAAGGGGGGTTCGATCGGACGTCTATATCTTATAGCTCCCATAGGAACAATAGGGGGAAATCGGTCAAAATTTTGACGTTTTTCAGGATATTTCGCGCAAAATAAAAGCTATTCCCATAAAACTTTCCAAATCATTTTTTTTTTGGGTCCCTTGATAAGGGTAAAAACGCCGGCCCCAACAGACCTATAATATCTATAACCTCCAAAAAAAAAAAAAGATAAAAAAATTTTTTTTTTTTTTTTTATATAATTTATTATTTTTTTTTTTTTTTTATTTAAATTTTTTATTTTTTTATTATTTATTAAAAAAAAAAAAAAAAAATTAAAACTTCCCGCTTTAACACAAAAACCTCCCTTTATCTTTTATTTTTATTTTAAAAAAAAAAAAAAATTTTTAAATTTTAATTTTAAAATTTTAATTTAAAAAAAAAAAAAAAAAAAAACAATCATATAGCTGCCATAGGAACGATCGGAAAATTAATGAGAAATATTAGAAAATTGAACATTTTTGCGATTTGTTAATTAATAGGAATGATCTGCAAGGGTATATAAGCTTCGGCTGGCCGAAGCTAGCATCCTTTCTTGTTTGGATTAACTCGTCTCAAACATTTATGACGAACAAATGATTATTAATAATTATACTTAGTCACTACAATAGTTTCTGTACTAAACATTTCATAAATAGTGGTATACTGCTTAATCTATTAAAAAACTTTTTTAAAAAATTAATTAAATTTTTTTTTTTGGGATTAAGCAAAAATAAAAAAGAAAATATCAACTTTATTTACCGAAGAGAGTAAAGCCAATAGCTCTCATTTTCCAATCTAAAATTTATCAAACAAAAGTTAACGAACGTTTTTATTGTTTTTGCTTGTAAATACTACGGACTGTCATTGGTATCACAGAATTCAGATTAGATTGCGCTCATTTGCGGACGGAACTCCGACATGAGCGGACTGAAATCGTGAAAATGCGCCTCGGATATTCATGGCTGGTGCTTGGCCTCTTGTTGCTCCTGCAACAGGATCTCACTCAGGCAGCCAACATCCTGGGAATCTTTCCCTACCGCCATATTTCGCCCTATTTGGTGATGCAGCCGTTGGTCCGAACTTTGGCGAAAAGAGGCCACAATGTGACGCTAATCACACCAGAGGGAATGCCGAACGATATTGAAGGAGTTCGCCATATACGCGTTAACAAGCTGAATAGACGCATAAGGGGTGAGTCACGTTGTATGAAATTCTATAGAAATCTTTTAAAATAAAGTTATTTATTTTAGAAATGATCGAGACTGAACAAGTTCTAGACTTTATGATTAACAAATGGACGGAGACCACGTTGACAGCCAAAGTGTTTTTCAATGCCTCGCATGATATCTTGACTGATCCTGGGGTGCAGAGAATGTTACATGACGAAAACGAGAGGTTCGACCTAATCATGATGGAGCCGGCAAATCTGGATGCTCTCTATGGCCTGGTGGAATATTACAACGCCACCCTGATGGGATTGTCCAGTGTGCGCACCAACTGGAATACCGAAGAATTGGCCGGCAATCCTGCGCCATCCATCTACGAACCCATCTCCCCAATTGGCTATTCCTTGGACAGCTCATTGTTGAGTAGGATTCGCAACTGGATTCATATCACCGAGGAGAAACTGGTGGATCAACTGATTATTCGACCAGCGCAGTTACGCATTTTCCAGCAATTCTTCGGCTACTCGGCACAGAAGCTGCAAGAACTACGGGCCAGGTTCTCGGTCATCCTAATCAACAACCACTACAGTTTTGGAAAAGTTCGCGCCAATGTACCCAACATCATTGAAGTGGCCGGTCTGCATCTCAGCGAACCACGGGAACCGTGTGATAAGGAGTTGCAGAAATTCATGGACGAGGCGGAGCACGGAGTGATATATTTCTCAATGGGAGTGGACATACTGGTGAAGTTTCTTCCGCTTGAAGTTCAGCAGCCGCTGTTAAAGTCATTTTCAAAGCTAAAACAGCGGGTGGTTTGGAAGAGCGAACTCATCAATATGCCCAACAAATCGGAGAATGTTTATATTATTGATAAAGCCCCTCAACGTAGCATTTTAAGCCATCCCAACCTAAAACTTTTCATTACAAACGGAGGACTGCTAAGTGTGATGGAGGCGGTTCACAGCGGAGTTCCGATGCTGGGATTGCCGATGTTTTTTGACCAATTTGGTAACTTGCGTTGGGGAGAATTAGCTGGCATGGCCGAGGTCTTGGACATCAACTTTCTAAATGAAGATACTTTGACCACAACTATTCAGAAGATAATAGAAAACCCTAAATATGCCCAGAGGGCCCAGGAAATGTCGCAGCTCTTCAAGGATCGACCCATGAGTCCCTTGGATACGGCTGTTTGGTGGACAGAGTACGCCTTACGGAATCGAAATGCATCCCGAATAAGGCTCAATGTGGAGGAAATTCCACTGATACAGTACTATAGATTGGACAGTATCCTCATCCCTAGCGTTAGATTTGGATTAGTCGCATTGTCGGTGCTTTTTTTGCTCTATAGTTTGTTTTTGAAAAATCGTGTCGGACACAGATGATTCGTTTGATTGATAAACTTTTCAATAAAAGGCTTTTTAGCACTCCTATATAAAAGTATCGCTTATCTTAGTTCCTAATAGTAAATAAACATTTTTGCCGGCGATATGGAAATCCTGCTATCTACAATTTAATACCATGACTGTTCTCTTTCAATTAAAAATGTTTCAGTTATCAACTGTCTGGCAAATTGAACGAAACTTTTATGGGTTCTATGACACGCTCGATTAGATTGCGCTCATTTGTGGACAGAGCTCTGAAATGGACGGACTGAAAGCGTGAAAATGCGCCTCGGATATTCTTGGCTGGCCTTTGGCCTGTGCCTGTTTTTGCACCTCAATGGGAACCTTGACCTGGCACAGGCTGCCAACATCCTGGGCATATTTCCCTTTCACTACGGATCTCCTTATTTGGTAGTGCGACCTTTGATTCAGGCCCTAGTGGATCGAGGACACAACGTAACCTTGATTACACCAGAGGGCATGCCGCCCAATATCAAGGGAGTTCGACACATTCGCGTTCCCAAAATAAACAGACGTATGCAAGGTGAGTAAAAATACAAATTACCTTTTCGAAAAACTTTTTTTGCGCTTTGAACTCCTAAACACTTCAATCAGCTGCATTAACCTTTGTCTTTTCACTTTAGAAATGACCGATACTGACTTAATTTTGGGTTTCTTGAGCAACAAATGGATAGAAAGCATTCTGGCTGCCAGATTGTATTACAATATGTGTCAAGATATCCTTAGCGAAAATGCCGTTCAAAGAATGCTAAATGACAAGGGGGAGCACTTTGATCTCATCTTCATGGATGCGAGCAATCTGGATGCACTCTACGGCTTAGTGGAGTATTACAATGCCACTCTGATTGGCCTGACCTATATAGGTGTTAACTGGTACACCGAAGAACTGGCTGGAAATCGCGCACCAAGCATCTACGAGCCCATCTCCCAAAATGGCTACTCCAGAGGCAGCTCGATACTGAGTAGAATTTACAACTGGGCTCATATAAATGAGGAGAGGTTGCTGGTGCAACTGATAATCTTACCAGCTCAACTGCGCGTCTTCAAAAGGTTCTTCGGCTATTCGGAACAAAAATTCTATGACCTACGAAACAGGTTCTCGGTGATTTTGGTCAACAATCACTTCAGTGTGGGCAGGGTGCGATCTAACGTCCCCAACCTCATCGAGGTTGGCGGGCTACATCTTAGCGAATCCCCAGAGCCGTGCGATAAGGAGTTAAAGAAATTTATGGACGAGGCGGAGAACGGTGTCATCTATTTCTCCATGGGCATGGACATAATGGTTAAGTTTCTCCCCGAAAATCTTCAGCAAACACTGGTAAAATCCTTTGCACATGTAAAACAGCGGAGTGTTTGGAAGAACGAGTTCTATAATATGCCCAACAAATCGGAAAACATATATATGATAGAAAAAACCCCGCAACGCGACGTTCTAGCCCATCCCAAAGTGCGGCTTTTCATCACAAACGGAGGACTTTTAAGTGTGATGGAGGCAGTTGACAGTGGAGTTCCGATGCTTGGACTACCGATCTTCTTTGACCAATTTGGTAATCTCAAATGGGTCCAGTTGGCAGGCATGGCCGAGGTTTTGGATATAAGCAATCTAAGCGCAGATACTTTGACTAATACCATACGGGAGCTGATTGAAAACCCTAAATACACTTTGAGAGCTAAGAAAATGTCGAAAACATTTAAGGATAGACCGATGAGTCCTTTGGATACGGCTGTTTGGTGGACCGAGTACGCCTTGCGGAATCGGAATGTATCCCGAATGAGGCTCAATATGGAGGAGATTCCGCTGATTCAGTACTATGGATTAGACAGCATCCTTACCTCTAGCGTTCGATTTGGATTAGTCGCATTGTCGGTGCTCTATTTGATATATAGTTTGTTTCTGAAAAATCGTATTGTGCAAAGATGATTCGATCAATTGATAAATTTTCCAATAAAACGCTTTTGGCGCTCCCATATAAATTTAGCACCTCTTTTTATAACAATGTAAACAATGTTAAGTTCCTAATAGTAGATATACATTTTGCCGGCGATAAGGAAATCCTCCTATCTATAATTTAATAACAGTGGTTTCTCAACTAAAACCACGACCGCTCTCTTTCAATTGAAAATATTTTATTTACTCGCACATTGAACGAAGCTTCTATGGGTTCCCTGACACTTAAGATTAGATTGTGCTCATTTGTGAACAGAACTCCGAGATGGACGGACTGAAAGCGTGAAAATGCGCCTCAGTTCTGCTTGGCTAGCAATAGGCGTTTGCCTGTTTTGGCACCCCAATGACCTAATCCAGGCGGCCAATATCCTAGGCGTGTTTCCCTTCCACTACGGATCTCCTTTCTTGGTGGTGCGACCTCTCATCCAGGCCCTAGTGCAACGAGGACACAATGTAACCTTGATTACACCAGAGGGCATGCCCCCCGATATCAAGGGAGTTCGACATATACGCGTTTCCAAGTTAAACAAACGCATGCAAGGTGAGTGTTCTTTTCATAAACATTTATTAAATAGAATTTAAGATCATGGGACGATTCCAATTGTTTTTTAGTTAGTTTAGTTAGTTTAGTTAGTTTAGTTAGTTTAGTTTAGTTTTTTTTAAGCACTTTAATCAATTTATCAACCTTTGTATTTTCACACCAGTATTGATCGAGACTGACCAAATTTTGGGTTTTCTGTCTAACAAATGGATGGAGGCAATGCTGGCTGCCACAATGTACTTCAACATGTGCCAAGATATTCTTAGCGACGATGGCGTTCAAGGAATGCTTAAAGACGATAGGGAGCAGTTTGATCTCATCATGATGGATGCGAGCAACCTGGATGCACTTTACGGTCTAGTGGAGTATTACAACGCCACACTGATTGGCATCACGAGCATAAGTGTCAACTGGTACACCGAGGAACTGGCAGGAAATCCCGCACCAAGCATTTACGAACCCATCTCCCAAATAGGCTACTCTAGGGATACCTCGATACTGAGTAGGATTTACAACTGGATTCATATTAATGAGGAGAGACTGCTGGAGCATCTGGTCGTCTTACCAGCTCAACTGCGCGTCTTCAAAAAGTTCTTTGGCTACTCGGAACAAAAATTCTATGAACTGCGAAACAGGTTCTCGTTGATCTTGGTCAACAATCACTTTAGTGTTGGCAGGGTGCGATCTAATGTCCCCAACCTCATCGAGGTTGGCGGGCTACATCTTAGTGAGTCCCCAGAACCCTGTGGTGAGGAGCTAAAGAAATTTATGGACGAGGCGGAGAACGGTGTAATCTATTTTTCCATGGGCCTGGATATAATGGTAAAGTTTCTTCCTGAAAATCTTCAGCAAACACTGGTTAAATCCTTTGCTAAGGTAAAACAGCGGATTGTTTGGAAGAACGAGTTCTTTAATATGCCCAACAAATCGGAAAACATATATGTGATAGAAAAGGCTCCTCAACGCGACGTTCTGGCCCATCCCAATGTTCGTCTTTTTATCACGAACGGAGGACTTCTAAGCGTGATGGAAGCGGTTGACAGTGGAGTTCCAATGCTTGGACTTCCGGTCTTCTTTGACCAATTTGGTAATTTAAAATGGGGCCAGTCGGCAGGCATGGCCGAGGTATTGGACATAAGCAATCTAAACGCAGAGACTTTAACTAATACCATTCATGAGCTGATTGAGAACCCTAGTTACTCTCTGAGGGCTAAGAAAATGTCGAAAACATTTAAGGATAGACCGATGAGTCCTTTGGATACGGCTGTTTGGTGGACGGAGTACGCTTTGCGAAATCGGGATATATCCCGCATTCGCCTTAATGTAGAGGAGATTCCACTATTTCACTACTACAAAATAGACATCATTCTTACTTTTGCCTCTCGCTTTGGATTGATCGCAGCATCAGTCATCTTTTTGGGCTCCGTGTTTTTTAGAAAATGTGTGACAGGCGATATAAGGAATCGAATGTATTTTAACTTTTCAATAAAGTGAGACTATGCCTATTTTACAACTTCTTTTTGTAAATAAGGGAAATTTAGGAAATCGGGAAGTACCATTTTTTTATTATATTTAAAATTAAAAATATTTTATGATTTTATTATTATAGTTTTTATTCGTTTTTCACGGTGTAAGTAAAAACAGCTGATTCCTGATAATGGGTTATCATTGCAGAGAAAAAAGGCCCTCTCTTTCAACTCAAAACATTACAGTTATTACCACGATAACTGCTCGTAAATTGAACTAACATTTTTGGTTAGATTAGATTGTGCTCATTTGCCGCCAGAGTTCCGTCGTGGGCGGACGAGAATTGTTAAAATGCATCTTAAATTATCTTTTTTGGCGGTCAGTCTCAGCTTGATTCTGCAACTGGAGCTTCATCAGGACTTTGCACAAGCTGCCAGCATCCTGGGAATATTCTCCTACCACCTCAGTTCACATTTTCTGGTTCTGCGTACGTTTGCGGGAGCTCTAGTCAAACGAGGGCACAACGTAACATTGATTACACCAGAGGGAATGCCGCCGGATATCGAGGGAGTTCGACATATTCGCATTCCCAAGCTAAATAAACGAGTGCAGGGTGAGTCACTTAAGGGTCACATTTCGAGAGTCTATAATATTTCTGTATATCCCTTCAGATATGCTCGAGTCTGACCAACTTTTGGACTTCTTTGGCAACAAGTGGATGGAAAGCGTGATGGCCGTCACAATGCTTTCCAATATGTCCAATGATATCCTAACCGACGATGCTGTTCAAAGGATGCTGCAAGATAGAAGCGAACACTTCGATCTGGTCATGATGGAACCATCTGGCCTTGAGGCCCTCTACGGCCTGGTGGAGTACTACAATGCCACTCTGATAGGATTGTCCGGTGGAACTGTCAGCTGGAACACCGAGGAACTCGCTGGAAACCCAGCACCAAACATCTACGAACCCATCTCCCCGATCGGCTACTCATGGGATCCCTCACTGCTCAACCGGATCAATAATTGGATCCATATATGTGAGGAAAAGCTTTTGAAGAACCTGATCGTCCGGCCTGCTCAAGCGCGCATCTTCAAGAATATCTTTAGATATTCGGAGCAGAAATTCGAGGAGCTGCGACAAAAGTACTCGCTTATCTTGATCAACAACCACTTCAGCATGGGCAGAGTGCGAGCTAATGTACCAAATATCATAGAAGTCGGAGGCCTGCATCTCAGTGAGCCACCGGAACCATGTGATGAGAAACTGCAGAAATTTTTGGACGAGGCGAAGCACGGTGTCATTTACTTTTCGATGGGACTAGACATCATGGTGCAGTTCTTGCCCGAAAACATGCAGCAACAATTGATGCAGTCATTTGCCCAACTAAAACAGCGGATTGTTTGGAAGAACGAGTTCTTCAATATACCCAACAGAACTGAAAACATATATGTGATTGAAAAGGCCCCTCAACGCCACGTTCTCGCCCATCCAAATGTCCGGCTTTTCATCACACACGGAGGACTACTAAGTGTGATGGAGGCGGTTTACAGTGCAGTTCCGATGCTGGGGCTACCAGTGTTCTTTGACCAGTTTATTATCATGCGGTATGTTAAGCAAGGCGGCATGGCCGAGATCTTGGACACTAATGCATTGAACGCAGAAATTTTGACCACAAGCATTCGGGAGCTGCTCGAGAACCCCAAATATGCTGATAGAGCAAAGAAGATGTCGCAATCCTTCCGGGATCGACCGATGAGTCCTTTGGATACGGCTGTCTGGTGGACGGAGTACGCCCTACGCCATCGGGGTGTCAATCACTTGCGCCTCAATGTAGAGGACATTTCACCAATACGGTACTACAACTTGGATTGGCTACTTCTATTTGGTCTTCGGTTTGGAATTGTAATTGGATCTGTGATCTATATCGGCTTCAAAATATTTATGAAAATTCGGGAAAAGCAACGACGGCGCCGGGATAGAGAAAGGGTTTCTCTGCAGATAATGTTACTTCAGTCCAGATCCAAAATATATTAATTTTTTAGCACGCTTGGGTATTATATCATGTTATTTATCTCTGATCTCTGTTAACTACATTTCTGTCTATTTTTAGGTTAATCTCAAAAGTGTGCTTTGGAAACTATTCGATAGTGTACATTTTATAGCATAAGTTTAGACGTTGCATAAAATGTTGTTGTGCCCATCTTCGTATTTTATCTAATCAGTTGTTTGCAAGGCTAATCTTAAAATTGTTATAGTAATTTGTAATAATTTGTAAAGAAATTTTAAAAAATGCATGGAATATTTTAAAGCGAAGTTAAATTAAGATAATATTAAGATAAGTTTATGGTTATTTTTAAGCTCTTAACAGTACTAGAAAAACACCGCAAGTTGTATTTTATTTATCAGCATATTATTTACTTATTTAGACAGCAAAGAAAAACATGTGTTTGCATAAAATGTTCTTTTAATGTGTACATCAATGGGATTGTACTTTGCAGATGTTTTGTTATTGGCAAACTCTTTTTTATAAACTCCTCTTCTGGAATGACGTATTTGCCAAGCAAAGAACTTATTGACGTCAGAACATCGAAAACATGCAGTTGTCCTTGATCTGTGTCTTCCTCAGAGGATCGACTACAGGCTCTGCCTTTCACTTACTGTACATCTTCCCATCTCAAAGTCTTAACTGTTCTTCCCGAACTGGTTTTCTATATAAAGGCTTTAGGTTCTGACTGCTGTAACTCTCGACTGTCATGGAATTGAGGCTTTTGCTAATATTTGGGCCAAACAATAGCGACAATTGGTGACACACTTTCGGGCCAGAACAACAGACACACCGACCGCTGGCAGAATGCACAAAATATGAATTCATGAACAGAAGTGAATATTATTGTGGTGCTTTTCGGAGTGTTTTTAATTTTCCGTTTCGAGGTTTATTTGCACAGTGCGGTGGCATTCTTTTGTTTACGATCTGCGCTTGGCTAAATATTAAATCCGGCTGCCAAGCACCGGAGTGAGAACAAGCGGCAACGAGGTCACCAGCCTCCGAGAACGATTAATTAGTGGCAGTGGTTATTACTATATAGTGAAGATCCCCCGCTTAATAGTTCCGTCAATACGGCGACTAAGTGTCTTGACGATCGACTTGGGCAACAGTTTTGTTAATTAGTCGCCGGGCTGCGTGAAAAGCTCATTTCCATCCGGCGTCTGGCATTAATTGTTAAATTTTAAATTGCGCTCGACGAGTCGCCTTTACAGTTGTCATTTCATTGCCAATGGCCAGCTTATTTTCCACATCCAAACATCCAAATCGCATTGCCTTGGCTTATTGTGCCACAGATTATTAGTTGCATCCTTGATCTCAAACGGTAAACGAGACTGGCCATCTCTAACCCCAGTGTCAACTGCTTTTCCGCGGGCCCCATAAACGGGTCCAATTTCACGTGCCCATATTTTGTCAAGTTAAGCTAGGTTTTCAGAAATTACCAAAAAGGGGTACGGGCTGGCACAAGAATATGTTTGCTTTTTAGGCTGTCCACCAATTGCCAAAAATTGAAATAGAAATATAATTTTGCATAATTATGCGTGAGCCGGCGTGACTGCGGTCCCGAAATGAGTACGGCCATAATTTAAGACCACAGAAACCCAGCTATTCGGACAAACTGTTAATCTGCTGTCCGTCGTCTGGCTGAAATCGAGTGAGTAAAAACCAGCCGAGGGAATACCCTTTCAGCCATTTGCCTTATAGCGGTTTTACAAGTAATTAATTTTAGAAAAACTATTAATCATTTAGAGAATATTTTATACTAATTACAATAATCCTTGATGTGCTTCTTTTATTACTAAAACCATATAAACTTAAGTTGCTAAATAAAGGAAATAAACCAAGAAATCTCTTAAGCTGTTAAATAATTTACTAAAATACGCAATATGTAAAATTTAATTTTTGAAGGTAAACACTAAAGTGGCAGCTTCTGTTAGACATTAATAAAGTCTTCTTATACTTACCCCAAGTAAACAAAAAACCTCAAAAATTACTTTAGAATTTTTTAAGTAAAAGTTAAGCCAACTCCGAATTCAACTCGTGTCGTAAAACAATTTTTACAGATCAAGCAGACTGCTGGCCATGCTTTGCATGCCGCAGCGGGTTAAGGTATAAGCCGGGGCAATTTGACGCTTAAGCGCACCGCTGCACAGTCGCAGCCTCAGTTTGTCGGCGACAGTCGAACGTGGAGCACGAAAAATTCCGGTACGCGAGGAGTCCGAAATTGAAACCGAAATCGAATCGAATTGAATCGAAGTGGCAGGCCAAAGACTCGGGCCACAAACTTGAACTTGCCCAACACACGAAGCCAATTACACAGTGCAGCGAAAAGTGTTTTAGTGCTTGAAATTGTGTTCGAACTTCGAAGTAATTCCCAGAATTAATCACAGAAATATAAATGATTTAAGGCTGATTGATGTCTATGAAGTTGACATATTTACCTGTTAAATCCGCTGAAAATTGCGCACTGCAGTTGCTGTCTTCGTCTTGTTGAGTCATTGAGCAGGGTTCAAGAAAAATATGTGTGTCAAATATTTGTCTGTTTGCTGGTGAAATATTTGCACAGCCAGCTTTTGTTAATGAAACTCCGGGCGAGCATGGGCATCTGCCTTTCGAATGTGCCTGGCGAATTTGAAAATAGTTTTGAATTAGTTCCGTTTCTGGTGGCCACTTATATAATGGGTCAAGCGAAATTTACTGTTAAACGGCGCACGCCAAAAGCCACTGGGCCATCATCTTCGCCTTTTGGCCAACTCTCGCTTTCTCACACCTCTCTTTTGGCGTTCATCTCTTCATTTCTCTCAGCTAGTTGGCTTAATTTTTTCATGTTATTTTCTCACTCAATATTTACCTTTTTTGTTTTGCTCGCCGCTTACGTAAGGCGTCGCAAGCCCGTCTGGCCGGCTCCAGGCCAGGTCTGCATCTCGGCCTGAATCGGGACTCTGTTGCATTTCCAGCTCCCTCTGGACGGTGGTCAGCTGGTCCCACAGAGTTTTCCCCACCCGTTTATCCAGCAACTTAGCTAGCTGCCAATTTGTGGGGGCCTCTCCGGCGGACTCTCTCTTCGATTTCAGTTACCAGCTCTTCAATTGGCCTGCTCATTACAAAATAGCCACATTCTGCTATTGGAATAGTCGGTTTCGGCCCAATCGTTGCCACTCTGTATGCGGCATTGCGCAAAGTCCAAGTCCAATTTGCATACGTTTCTTGTAATCAAAAATGCATATTTTGATACACCCGATTTATGGCCCAGAGAAAAGCCCACAGCTGATCGGTAGTTGGCTCTCTACAAATCTCTCGTTCGGCTTCTCTGCATCTGCAGCTGGTTGGACAACTTTCAAGGAAAGTGCAAGTGTTGCCATGGCATTGTCGCAACTACAAATGGCTCAGAGAGCTGGGAGCTGAGCAATGTCGTGGCTCGCAGCATTTGGTAAAAGAAGGAAGTGGCTCTGGGTTACTGGTTTACTGGCTAACTTGCCCACTGGGGGCGTGTTTATTGTGTTATGGCCCAGTTAAACGAAACGCTTAAGGAAGCGGAACTATAATTAGCACCCCTACTGGCTGTTGACCAAAAGTTTTCCATTTTTGGTTGATTAACAGATTTATGGTCACCACGAAAAAAGTTCGTTAGCTTCTTCAAGACCTTCTCGCCCTGGTTTCCGGTCTTGCCATTCAATTAGCCCACTGTCATTGAGTCTGTATTTTTATGTAAAATATATATAAAACAAATTCATATTCATGCACGCCATAATGTGGAATATGAATTCCTAATTAATCATACGCCCTGTGAGCATGCAAAATATTTAGTGACCTCCCGTAAGGAAAAAATAACACGGCAATAAAAACAGCGGCAGCAAAACAAAATGGAATAATGTCTGTATTAGTTCAAGACAAGCACAGTGAACAAATTCGAAAATAATCGCAAGCAATTTAAATTGAGACCACCACTCAGTAGTGGAAAAACTATGAGCTGAGCCAAGTTAGTGGCTCTGAGCCAAGTTGAGTGGAGTCAAGAGCGCGAGAGCGTCTACAAATTCGAGCCCCAGCTGTTGACATTCGCGTCTTTGTCTTGGCCCTGACCAAGAAGTTGGCTCAGAAGCGTTGCGCACTTTGATTCGGTATTCGGTTCGTTTTCGGCTTGGACATTGACGTTTGGCAAACACATCTGGCCATAACACGGGCCATCGACTAATGCATTATTCCGATTCGTTTACCCAGTCGAAAAGCAAACGCACGATGACAACCGCCGGACTTCGACCACTGCTGAGCCTCCTTCTCCTGGGATTGGGCTTAGTACTCCTCTGTGATGTCAGCTCCTCGATTGCCATTGCCCCATCGACTTTTGGCACGGCCATAGCACGTGCCGGGAAGATTTCCAACCAGCTAAAGGTGAGTTCAAGAACCCGTCTTCCCTACCAAATATATTCGCTAGATCTTAGAACAACTCGTATAAATTAAGCAGAGACAAAAGAAGCTTTACAAAGCGTGCCACTTTCGGCCATTTATGGCTGACTCGGCCAGTTGTGTGACTTTGACATCGTGTCGCAAATTTTGTGGCCGCTCCAAAAGTAATTCAACACCAACAGAAGACTTGGCTTTATGGCCAAGTTGTTTGGCTGCCGGTCACTGCATTTACATATGCCCGCTAATGGACTTTATGGCTCACCAAACAGCAAGTTAGACTGGTCAATTGCAATGCCTAGTGGTTCTATTGTTTTATGCGCGTGAAAAATATTGTTTGCCACCTGCTAATTAGACAGCCAGTGGCCCAAAACATGTGTGAGGTCGAGTGGGGAATATCAATGAGGGCTGGCCTTCTAAATACGAATCTCTCCGGCAATGTAATTAATTCAGAAGCCATTTAGAATATATGCAGATACTTGGCAAGCGAACTGCTAACTCAACTGTGCTGCATCACGATGCCCTTTTTATAGGAAAAATCAAAACACTGAAAAATCAATTATTTACATCAGTTTATGCCCATCAGGGGGATAAGTACG